TATTTCCTTTGCAGTGTTCATTGTATGGAAATGCATGCTAAGGAAATGCAAGAACACATCTTCTCATTCAAAACTTTGGCAGCCATTTTCTCTCTGCCGGCCATTCTTACGCCAGCACAGACTGGGCAGCAGATCGCTGGGGGGCATTACCTGGGAATGGCACATATCTGGAAAGGGAGAGGGTGCGCTAGCAAGGCAAACTTTCTATTCTTCCTGGTGGGTCTGGGGCAGTTTTCAGGCACACAAATGGTGAAGCGTTGCAGGAGGCTTGAAAAGAAGATGAACAGTTCTGTTTTAGCCACCTGTTCTCCAGGACAAGCGTGGTGACCTGCAGGGAAAGGAAGCAGATGATTTTGTGCACAGCAACAGGCAGGACAGGCTGGAATCCACACCACTCTTGCTGTGTCTCAGTCCAGCAACTCTGCTCAAGGCCGCAGCCCCATCTCAGTTGACGGCAGGGCAGCCACAAAGCTCAAGTCAGTGCCTGCTGGCTTCCACTTGACTGGGGTGCCTGAGAGCCCATTCAGCCCAGATCTGGCCTTTGGCACCATCACAAAGCCAGATGTAAGGCGGTCCTCAGAGGTGCCCAAGCTGGATTCACCCTCGTCACACGCAGTGTGGCAGCCATGCCTCTGGGCATTAGTTCAAGGACTCCACATGAACACAAACACACAAAGGAATCACTGGGAAAGCAGCTGAAATCTTGATCCCTGTGTAGCTTTCTCTTTCTGAGAAACAGGGAGACTTACAAATAATGATTCTGCTGCATTGTCAACTGTCAAAGTTGCTCCAGAAATAAACTAACCTGGTTGATTCTCCTTTCCCATTGACCATTACCAATGTTGCCCACCATCTGGAGAAGAGGAAGGAGGACAACAGGATTGCTTTAGCTTTCCCCATGTGTCTCAACCATCCTTCTCTTGCATTACCTAGAGAGAAAGGCAGGAAGGCCTCCCGCCTGACAAAGCGCCCCTCTGCGTCCAGGAAGTGCTCCGGGTAGAACTCATGAGGCTTCTCCCACATGGTTTCATCCTTCAGCACAGAAGACAAATTATACAAGACTATGGTCTCCTAAGGTGGCACAGAAACAAACAATCAGACATTTCAACTGGCTTAATTCGGTACATCTCTTAATACTTAAAGGAATCAGTAAAGTATAATGCTATTGTAGAAGGGCTGTCCTGTTTCCAAAGTGTGCAACGAGTATGCAAAGACACTACTGGGAGGACAATGCTGTTAACTGGGTGCAAGAGAAGAAGGCCAGTTCCTGCATTTCCATTCCAGTCCTGGGAGGCTGGAAAGCCTACTTTCAAGGCAGGAAAAGCAAAGACTCATTCGCTCCTGCCTAAAAGGGGCACCAACAAAGGCCCCCCTGCTGGGCACTCCCATGTCTGAGGTCCTCCTGCTTACCAAGGCTGAAACATGGCGTGGGGGGGTTCTAGAGCCACTCTAGAGCCTGGCTATCTATGGCAAATCTCCGAGGAGAGGGTCGAACCTGACCTTCCCCAGCCTGCTGCCCTCGAAATGTTCTGGACTGCTGCCCCCATCATCCTCTGGGTGTGGCAGTCCAATACATCTGGTGGACAACAGGCTCTGGGAGGCTGCTCTAACTTTCCTTTCTTCAGCAGGCATTTATTTTACATTCAGAACATGAACTCCTGGAGTCTGGAAAAATTATGCCACCTTTTTCTTTTCCAGGACTAGCTTGAGAGGGGAAGAGAGGGTTTGCTCCAACACCTCCTGGTGCACTACATATTTTGGGGCCAGCAGTTTCTTGGAAACTGTCAGACCAAACATGGGAGTCAATGCTGAATGATCCTCTACAGGATTTATCATTTGCTTGGAAACCAAGGAGCATTCAGTGATGTAGAACGCAATGCCACAGATGACCATCCCAGGGACCAGAGGATGCCTCAATTCACCACTCTGTGGTCACAGGCAATTCTCCAAATGTTCAGGGGCTTCCACACATCGAGGACACAGGGTGCAGGATTGCACCCCTACTCTTTTTCCTCTTAGAGGAAAAACTGAACCTGCTATCTGATGTCCTGGGTCTTGAGGCTGTTAGCTGCATGACCACAATGGCTCACGATTGAAAACAAATCTGTACTGAGTAGCCCGAGTCAGACTGTCAACATGTTCATGTCTGCTTTGCAAGGAAGAAATAAATGCATGCTCTAATTGTATTGCTCTGATAAGCTTCCTTTTCCAAACTGTTTGCACTTTAGGTCAGTCTGCAATTTTCCTAAAACCCTTCAAAGGAGTATTGTCTTTCTTCAACAGTGTTTAGGTAGACTACATAAATTATTCCCATATGAATTCTAGCAAGGATCTTCACTACGTAATCATGTAATCCAATTGAATCTGCTAGTGCTCACTTGAGTTTACTCTGAACAAAAGTCCTCTCACATGGTCCTTCTGCGAGTTACCAGGTCAAGATTGATTCACAGTGGGTTGGATCCTGACATAGCCATGCATAGCCATAGCATGATGTTATGATCTAACACACACATTTTTTCAGGGACTGTACCTTTGGGATGACAAATTTGCCAACTTCAGTATCTTGGTTTGTCATGAAA